ACAATTATTTACAATAAATTAGTGTTAGGTAATATTTGACGATCCCGAGTAATAAATTGTTCTAAATTAAACTGTAAAATTAAAGTATCAATTTAATGTTTTTAATAGTCAGACATATTTATTATTTATTAATTAAAATATAATTTTTTATGTCTGATCGGAAACAGTATAATTACTCGTACCTATATGATATAGACCAGCTATCCATGAAAATTTGTTAATTTCATGAAGTGGAATCGGTAAATAATAATTATACTGTGCCTCTATAAAACACACGCACAGTCATATAATATATATATATTTAAGTCATTTTCATTATAAAAAATAAAAATACTTATTAAAAAAAAAACAAAAAAGGGGCTCTGCTGTACAGTAGGTTACAAGTGGATAACTGTATAATGGATAGTATTAAATTTGAATTCAATGATATAATATCATTGTATAAGAAAAACGATTCTGAGATGAGACTATTTGTCAGTCTAGCCGTCTAGGTAAAAGCAATAAGCCATATTATAATATTATATACTTATCTCTGTTATTAAAAAAAATTAACCTATAATAATTACCTATAATAAATTCCAAATTAATCATATCACAATATCTATTAGGTACTGATAACGCGTTATACATCATAAGTTCATAACAAACTCTGATACTATCATAGATATATAATAGTGTACTTTAGAAGTTTCAAGTCCCCACAAATTATATTATACAACCACAACAAAATAACTAAGATAGTTATTCTAGGTTTTTTATTGTGTAATTTCGTCCAAATTTGAACTTAAAATGACTATAAAAATAAACTGTGCTTATGTATTTTTTAAAATTTTTTGGTAACAGAATTAACTACTTACTTGTATTCTTGTTTTAAATATTAAATCCTTCGATAATGAAGTTGAACATTTTATAAATTTTTAACTACAAAATAATTATTCAATTTTATATTTGATAAATGTTGTCAAAATTTGATCTTAAATGCTTATAAAAAAAATTGTAAATATGTATTTTTAATATTTTTCAACTGCTATTGTAACAATATACAAGGAGCCTTATATTAAATTTTTACACTTTTTGACGCAACAGAAAAACTTTATTGATATTCATAGAAAAAAAAATTTAAATAAATATTAAATTGTCCGTAAAAATCTCAAAAATCAAAATATTATGAAAATGTTATCAACTGTAAAAATTGATAAAATAAACATTCAGTAAAATGTTTATGTATCAACAGTTATTCGTTTGTGAATATTAAACACAATATAAGAAGATCGCTACATGAGAAATCTAGTGAATATCCAATGTTGTAAAAATTTGAATTTCAAACACTCATAAAAATATAATTTGACTTTCTCCTACAAATATTTTAAGGTAGACAAACTTATGAGGAATCTTGAACTACATTTTAAAATCTTAGATTTAAAAAGAAAATTTTTATAATAATTGGCAAATTTTCGTAATTTTTGCACATTTTGTCAATATTTGAACTTTAAATGCTTATAAAAAAAAATTGCGACTACGGATTTTTAATTTATTTCATCTGCCTTTGAAATAATATTTTTTAACCAACAAATAAAATTTTATTGATAATTATAGAAAAAAAAAAACTAAAAAAAATAGAAACTGAAAATGTCTGTAAACAGCTCAAAAAGAGTCAATATATTTTTTAAATTATATGGTGTATAGGAAATGCTAATATAAACATCCAGTGAAATTTTATTGCAGATACAGTTATTCGTTTTTGAATTGCAACAAAATAAGAACATCGCTACATGAGAAATCGAGTGAATATAAAATGTTGTCAAAATAATTTGAATTTAAAACGCTCATAAAAATTTAATTTGACTTTCTTATAGACACTATTTTCTTTGATAATGGTAGATAATCTTATAAGGAATCTTGTGTTACATTTTAAAACCTTCAATTCAAAACCAAAAATGTTTACGAATTCTTAACTGAAAATGCTTATGTATTTTTAATATTTTTCAACTGATATTACAACAGTATATCAGGACCCTTGTATTACATTTTTACACTTTTTTCCCAACAGAAAAATTTTTATTGATATTTATAGAAAAAACAACTAAAAAATTTGAAAACTTAAAATGTCCGTAAACAGCTCATAAAGAGTCAAAATATTTTCGAAATTGTATGGTGTATAGGAAATGCTAATATAAACATTCAGTGAAATTTTCATGTATCTACAGTTATTAGTTTTTGAATTACAACAAAATAAGGAAATCACTGCATGAGAAATCGAGTGAATATCCAATGTAAAATATTTAACTCATAAAAATTTTATTTGACTTTTTCCTACAAATATTTTAAGGTAGACAAACTAATGAGGAACCTTGTATTACATTTTAAAATCTTTTAAAAATTTAATTTGACTTTCTTATAGACATTTTAGATTCTGAGTGAAACGATGAATGTATTGATTTTACAATGATGTGTGTTTTTTTTTTATTTAATTTTTTTAATTTTTTTTTTGTGTCTGCCATCACGTTAAAGGACAGTAAAAGTGTTTGAATTTACTTCAACAGTAGCTTTTCTGATAGGAAAGTGAATCTAGTTGGTACTTTGGGGGGTCAAAAGTGAAAATTTCACAGTGGTTTTCAAAAGCGGCGTGAAAAACAAAATAAAAATTAAGGAAAAACGGGAATTTTTACAATAAAATCTGTTTTCGAAAAAATCTAGTTTGGTTTTTGGTGCAACTCTTAAACAAATAACCGTAGGTACATTAAATTTGACTGAATATTTATATTAGCATTTTCTATACACGATAACATTTTCAAAATGTTTTGATTTATTTTGAACTGTTTAGGCATATTTTCATTTTAAATTTTTTTAGTTTTTTTTAGTTTTTTTTAAAGAATATCAATAAAATTTTATTTGTTGGTTGAAAAAGCTTGAGTTCAAAAATTGACATAATATGGAAAAACCACGAAAATTAGCAAATTATTTTGAGTTAAAAATTCGTAAAAATTTTTCTTTTTAAATCTAAGGTTTTAAAATGTAATAAAAAATTCCTTCTAAGATTATCTACCTTTATCAAAATAAAAATTTCTATAAGAAATTCAAATTAAATTTTTATGAGCATTTGAAATTCATGTAGCGATTTCCTTATTTTGTTGTAATTCAAATGTTGTTATATTGGCATTTCCTATACACCATACAATTTTGAAAATATTTTGACTCTTTTTAGCTGTTAACGGACATTTACAGCTTTCAATTTTTTTAGTTTTTTTTTCTATAAATATCAATAAAGTTTTATCTGTTGGGCCAAGAAGTGTAAAAATTGAATACAAGGCTCCTGATATATTGTTACAATAGCAATTGAAAAATATTAAAAATACATAGGCACAATTTTTTTTATAAGCATTTAAAGATCGAATTTTGACGAAATTTATCAAATTAATCAAAAATTATCAATCATTGTAATTAATAAATTATAAAATGTTCAGTTTTTATAGCTAAGGATTGCAAATTTAAAATAAAGGTTCTAATAAATAGTTCATACTGTAATCAAAAAATCTAAAAAATATATGAACACAGTTTTTTTTTACAGACATTTTAAATTCAAATTTGGACGAAATTACATAATAAAAAACCTACAATATCTATTTAAATTATTTTGTTGTGATAGTATAATATTATTCGTTGGTACTTGAAACTTTTAAAGTATACTACTATATATCTATGATATTATCAGGGTTTGTTGTTATTGTATAACGCGTTATAAGTACCTAATGGATATTGTGATATGATTAATTTGGAATTCATTATAGGTCAATTTTTTTTAATACCATAGATAATTATAATATAATATGTCTATACCTAGGACATACCTTCTCTGCTCAGAATCGTTTTTCTTATACAATGATATAATATCATTTAATTCAAATGTAATACCATCCATTATACATTGACTTGTAACCTACTGTACAGCAGAGCGACACCCACTTGCCCGCCTTTTTTTTTTTAAAAAGGTAAATAATCTTATAAGGAATCTTTTTTTACATTCTAAAATCTTAGATTTAAAAAGAAAAATTTTTATTAATTCTTAACTCAAAATAATCTGCTAATTTTCGTGATTTTTCGATATTTTGTCAATTTTTGAACTTTAAACGCTTATAAAAAAAAAAATGTGGCTAAGGATTTTTAATATTTTTTATCTGTCTTTGAAACAATATATTAGGAGCCTTTGTATTAAATTTTCAAGTATTTTTCTCAACAAATAAATTTTTATTGATATTCATAAAAAAAAAACTAATAAATTGGAAACTGAAAATGTCCCTAAACAGTTCAAAATAAATCAAAATATTTTGAAAATGTTATCGTGTATAGAAAATGCAAATATAAATAACCAGTAAAAATTTCATGTATCTGGTCATTTGTTTTAATGTTACACCAAAAGCCAAAATCGATTTTAAATTTTGACCTTCCCAAAGCACCAAGTAGACTCATTTTCCTATCAGAAGAGGTACTGTTGAAGAAAATCCAAGCACTTTTACTGTCCTAAAAGGTGATGATAGACAAAAAAAAATAAATAATAAAAAAAAAAAAATACAAATCATTGTAAGATCAATACATTCATCGTTCCACTCAGAATCTAAAATGCTACACTCAGCAAATCACGTTATTTTAAAAATTAATGTGAATTGACCACTTATAGAATTTAATGATACGATTATTATTTAGGCAATATCATAGGTTTTTTTATCATATTTTAATTTTAAAGCAAGTTATTACTTATTAGTATTTCAAGGTGTACATTAAACATTTATATAAAAATATTTGACGGGATTTTTTCCGATTATCGAGAAGCGTGAGCTCAGTGCGTATTATGTATTTATGTGTATTTTTCATAATTATTTATTTTTTATACAATAGTCATTTTTTGCGATGAAAAAAGGAAAATAATTAATACGAAATGCCTCCTTCGTTTTTCCATACGTGTAATTTGGTAAATATTATTATTATTATTATTTAGTTTGATGTTAAATTTTTAAGTTCAAGTTTTGAGAAAATTCGTTTCTAGGGTACCAAAAGAACGAAGTTTCGCTGTAGATTTTGAAATATTCGGAAAAATGTACAAACATCAGTTTACGGTCACAATTATCGTCTTTGGTCCTCGTCGACGTTGGATTTTTCGAACAAAAGACTACAGGCAACGTTGCTACGTTGCCGGAATCATCCCATCGGTTCGAGGGTAGCAATGTGATGGGGTGTGGTTTGGCAAAGTGAGGGTTTATCGACTTCGTCCCCGACTGTCTACGAACAACACCTTCCCGAGACACTGCCGTCAACAGGGCCATGCAAGAACTATAATATATATGTATTTTTTATTGATCCAGCAATCTAAAACGTACCCAGTGAATCCAATTTCATTTATTTACAGTCGTTAATAATACCTATTAATGTTTATGATAGTGAATTTATCAATTTTTTTTCTCTAGTTTATCAACTACGGGCCTCTATAATATAATGTACCTATTTGTATATTTTTTTTATTATTATTAATTATTATGTTGACAGCTGTATCCAACAGTAACGTATAGCTTTGGAGATTAGTAACCTAACCTAACAGATACACCGACACTGTATATACCTATATATTATATAATAATAATACGTACCTACGTGTAAAAACCTCGTCTTTGTGGTTGTATGTAATAATATAATATATATGTATACAATAACATAATTTTGTTACACATTGTAGGTATATAATATTTTATTTTAAAAATTTTTAACGGGCATCATGGAATACCTTCGCGGACCACGGGTTGGGAAAAACTGTCATAGACTAATACGAAATCGTATTACTCTATGCTGTATAATATAAAATATCACGATACACATCAATATACGATAACATAAGTTATATATCTAAATATGTGTTAGAATGTCCGAATATAATTTAATTAATTATGCTATGTAGAGTATAAATCGGTTAAGTAATTCCAAATGTACAATATACTTACTAAATATCGCATCCTTTACTTGTAATAATACTGTTTATTAGGTAGGTACTAAAATGTCAGTAGAAGCAGTTTTCAATAAATGATTTATCAGACTATCTTATCATTTACTATAATTTATATGATAGTCTGAAAATTAGTACAGTTAATTAAATTACAAACTTTTATATTGTATTCGTAAAGAAAAAGAAAAATCGATATTTTTCGTTTAAATTTCCAATTTTATCAACATTGCATTACTTTCTGTATTGTAAATAATTACAATACAATAAAAATGTATAGGCTATGTATAGGTAACCTAAATATATATTTTACAATGGTTTGTAATAGTATTATATTATATTAAAGCTATTTAAAATAATTTTACTTTATACTCATCAAGTTCGAGTTTCAATACCTACCTCTATATGTATTATGTATAATGTATATTATTATCCTCAAAAAAACTACTTCGGAGAAGTAAAAAGGCTTTCTGTGCGTAAGTTGAAGAGATTGGGAGAAAAGATAGAACTTTGGTGTTAATAAAGATGTGAAATCAATCTCAAAGTTCTGTCTTTTCTCCCAATCTCTTCAACTTACGCACAGAAAGCCTTTTTTACCTCTCCGAAGTAGTTTTTTTGAGGATTTCAATTATTTTTCCGAAGCACGTTTTACTGTGAAATACTGAGGATTATATATATTATATTTATGGATTAAATTTTTTCTAATCATTATTTTTATTTTTGAATAATAATTCTATAAAAATAGAAATAAAATATAAATGTTTATTAATAATACAATTATTTAATAATAATAATTATTATTATAGTATTATAATAGTAATAATAGGTACATATTTACGTAGCTGTTGTTTTGTAACAATAAATCGCGTAAAATAACGTACTATGTAATAATGTAAATGCACGAGACCTCGGTATCGCAACAACGCGAGTACGTAAAAAATATTTTATAATATAATAAAAATAAATAATAATTAATAATAATTCTGCAAACGTAAAACTAGCTAGCTGTTGTTGTGGGTGAGGTTCGCGGTACGGTAGCGGCCGGCGCGTAGCGGTTGCTACGGAGCAGCGTTGGAAGGGGAAGTTTGGGCGGCCGCATCTCGCTGTATGACGGACGAAAGAAGAAGACTCACAAAACTGCAGTTCTTAGCTCTGTCTCTCTCGCACTCTGCATTCAACCAACGCGTGCGATTGAGAGGACTGAGCGCCGAAACGAAACTTAATGTATAATAGTCTCGCTATCGGTTGTCGGTGTGCTGTTTCTTATCGGTGTTACTTATGCACAGAAAGCAATGCATCATCTTCGATAATGTCAAGTTTGGTGAGCACCTATTCTCAAAACCAGCGGCATAAATCATAAAATATAAAATATTATGTACCATCATATTATGTAACATCGGTAAGACATGGTTTTAATGGGTGCACATGGTTTGAGCACATTTACTAAAATTACAACTCATTTGCGCACATTTTTACAACTCGTTTGCGCACAGATTATTTCTAGTGTAACCACTGGTTTGCGCACACATTTTCCTTCCCACTCTTACAGACTTAGGACTGTCAGTGAATATTTTAATTTCACTGGTGTGGTTAAAAATGTATTTTTGGTGTGCTTTGTGTTAAACTGAGGGTTTAATGTAGCAATTGCCTTACATTTTTTATTGGTACATCGAAATGCAAAATTCCCACATTTTAATTTTCTGTACTTCGAAAACTTAAAATTGTTAATAGAAACACACATTTTACCGCGACGAGTATAGTATATATTTGTTATTTCGTAATCCATATTTCTGTAAGCGCTGTACGAGATAATTGTCGAAACTAAAACTAAAAACTTGTGTTTGCGATTTCAAAACGATAGTACCAGTTTATTGATGGGTCATAAATACTGATACAGTTTATCGAAGTAATATTTCCGATTACAGACTATTATCTGCGTCTAAAAACCAATATAATATTAACGTATATAATAATAATATGTACAAAATATAATCTTGGCTATACCATATTATTGTATATAATATGTTGTGCGCAATCGAGTGGTTAGATTACAGTCATCCGTTATCTGTGTCTAAAAACCAATATAATATTAACGTATATAATAATATTATGTACAAAATATGTGCGCAATCGAATGGTTCCTTCTACAATATGTTGTGCGCAAACGAGTTACAGGTTTAAGCAGGGAAATTTTAAAATGTGCGCAAACTAGTTGTAGCCGGTTTTAATTTTGACTCGAATAAAATATATTTACATAGGTACTTAATTGTACATACTACATACTATATATTTTATAATTGATAATCAATATATTTACAAAAAAACACTAGATAAAGATTAATCTCAATCATTACTATAATAACCCGATATCCGTCGAAAAAACTCCATAATTTTTGGTATAACAAAAGTACAGCACTATTATTTTGTTCCTCGAGCTGTATAATATAGAAGTTGATTTAAAGTGTAGCTTTCATGTAGGTATAAATGCGAGTGTTCGATAATTCTTAATGTGTAAAGAAAAATCTAAATCATATATAAACTCTGCTATAATACAGCATCTTTTACGCGAATTTTCAATTATTTACTGCAGTTTATCAAAAACTACTTTTTCTAACACATTTCTGACAATCTAAAACATTAGATCGGAGATTGAATAGGCTGACATTTTTTAAATTACTGGGGGTTTCAAGTATTATAAAATGCTTATTAAGTACACCTCTACAGGTACCTCTGTACTAGAGCCGCTAACAATTATTTATTTCAATAAGACATTTAAACAATTTAACCATAATTAAGTACCAAAAAAATTATGTTCCTTATCTTGAACATTTCAGAAGTATTATAAACAGAAATTATCAAGTGATTAATTTTTAATTTAGAATTATAACCAATGGTGGATTTAGGGGTTCAAATAAAGTCGGCAAATCCATAAGAGGTGCCTCGTTCAAGAGGTATGAGGAACATACTGTAGCGAGCTCTGACTATTTCTTAAAGGCATACAAAACCCCCCCCCCAAAAAAAAAAAAATTAAATTTGGTTTTCATACTTAGTAGTATAAAAAAAAATATCATGAAAAAGAATGTGAAAAAAAAAATTATTCACAGAGTTAAGGTGAAAACCAAATATACCTGTGACGTCATTGCGTCGGACGTCTCCGCGCGGCACTGGCAGCCGGTCGCAACAAGCCCTATGAAGAATACGTAGGTATATTAAGTATATTCTCGTCACCTGCCGATCGCTAATCGCCGATTATTTTTTTTTTTATTTCCATAATTAGGTCCTTTAATTATTTATAAATTATAAATATAACACATTAACACTATTCCTAAATACTTATAAAGTTATAAATGATAAACGTCATTGCGTCGGCCGTTTCCAAGCGGCATCGGCAAACGTATAAAAATTATTATTATTATTATCGTCGAATGTCGAAAACAAGAAGGGAAATGTATTACTTTACATCGATCGTTTTCGAAACTAATATTGGTAAATTTATTAAAACGCACAGGTGAATTATCGCGATTAGGAAATCTATGCGTTCCTTTATTGTTACTACAACCAAATACACTACAATACGGCATTATTTTCTTCGAATGTTGAGTATTTGAGTATATTATATTACTGCAGTACACATATGGAACAAAAATGATATTAAGCGACGCACTAGTAATACCTTCTATTTCTGTAGATTGCATAGCGACGTGAAATTTTAATTCTTTATAGTTTAAAATTATATTAGATCATACCAATCATAATATATATTATTAATTTTGAAAACCGGACTTTTTTCCGTGTACTTTTTTTCCCCGGACTTTTTTTCTGGGATTCAGTGCACTACATACCGACTAGGCGAAAAGTGAATACTGACGAATTGCCAATTGGTTAAAATTGTTCGGTCAACAGTAAGTCTTGGTTATCATTTATAAGTATTTAGGAATAGTGTTAAATTTATAATTTATAAATAATTAAGGACCTATTTATGGAAATAAAAAAAAAATAATCGGCGATTAGCGATCGGCAGGCGACGAGAATATTATTATACGTATAATATTCTTCATACGGTTTGTTGCGACCGGCTGCCAGTGCCGTGCGGAGACGTCCGACGCAATGACGTCACAGGTATATTTCGTTTTCACCTTAACTCTGTGAATAATTTTTTTTTTCACATTCTGTTTTCATGATATTTTTTTTTATACTACTGAGTATGAAAACCAAGCACCAATTTTTTTTTTTGGGGGGGTTGTGTATGCCTTTAAATAACAATATAAATCTCATTCTAATATGTACGTAATCATATAATAGACGCGCCGCGTAAATATAATATAATTGTAA